ACAGCCTTCCTCCCAGGCGCAGTGCTTAGCAGGGAACCCAGAACTATAGCAGGTGCTCAAAACGTGTGTATTAAGGAAGTTCAAGGACAGCAGCCAGATGGGGCTGAGGGCAGTGTGGGCTCCTGCCTCAGTTGGGAGTCGTATCCTAGAGGGTGATGGGGTGGGTGGGTGGGCGGGAGGGAGAAAAGGTGATTTCCTGACCGACAGCACCTCAGTGTCTAGGGTTGTTCCTGGACCCCCACCCTTGTGTCAGGTGCTGCCAGGCTGCATGTACTGTGGTGGCCAGACGCTGCCAGCGGAGGCCTTGGTTGGACAGGAGGGAGCTACAACATCCAGGGGACGACATGCCAACTGCCAAGCAACTAGCTGACATTGGCTACAAGACTTCCTCTACCTCCATGATGCTCCTTACTGTGTATGGGGGCTCCCTCTGCAGTGTCCGAGCCTCACTTTTTCCACAGGGGCGCAGCTCCCGGCTCCAGGCTGCAGAAGAACAGGAGACCACAGGAGTCCTGTAGAACGAGGGGGCTCTTCTCCATGACCAGAGAGGCCTGAGGCATGCTGTGGGAAGAGCTCACCTACAATCATCCAAATCAAGAGAACCAGGGCCTTCATGGTTTTCAAGCCCTGCTGGGGATAAGTGCTGTTTTCTTGGGAACTGCCAGTTTGGGAGGCTACCAGATCGTAACAGGAGCTGGGGGACGGGGAGGCACATGCACAGACATTCAACGTTTTGTCATTCAACAACAACAACAAAACAAAACAAGCAAAACAAAGAGTGAATATTAAACACATGAGCACTCATTGAGAGGCCAGAGAAGCCTCCTAATCTGGAATCCACAGGTTTCTCATGCACCATAACTCTAGGCCTTTCGGAACTCATTCAAACAAACCACAAACATCTATTTTTAATCCACAAATTCCAAATATTTGCTCCCTACAGGGAAGCTCAGTTTGGAGGGTCTCATTTGTTTCTCTCTTGCCTGGGAGCAGCCAAATGCTGTGTTCCTGGTTTAGTTATAAAAAAAAAAACTGTGCTGGGAAAGACAGAGGAATGTTCTAAGGATGCTGAGCCATTCATTGCAAATGGAATAAGGCCCCCCCACCCCTGCAAATCCCTCTGCCCAGCCGTGGTTTATCCAAACCCCTGACCTGTAGACACATGGCAGATGGTTGTGTTTTATGCCACAAAATCTGGGTGCTTTGTTATGCAGCAATAGGTAACCATGTGGTGGAGTCTCCTAAATTTTAGATGCAACAGATAATTCAAGATTTAAAAATAACAGCAACCATGCAACTATACTGGCCAAAACTGTCAGGCCAGGTGCAATTGCTTGATCTGTCTCATAGGACACCAGTTTAAGGCTTCAACTTAGGGAATTGTAAAGGGTTGCTGGCAAACGGGACTGAAAGAGAACCAGCAGGGAGTGCAGAGCTTTCCTCCCAGGCGCAGTGCTTAGCAGGGAACCCAGAACTATAGCAGGTGCTCAAAACGTGTGTATTAAGGAAGTTCAAGGACAGCAGCCAGATGGGGCTGAGGGCAGTGTGGGCTCCTGCCTCAGTTGG